CACATTGACCTCTGTGTAAGCTTCCATCAGTGCAGGGGATGCATATGCCTCCGAGGAAACTTTGATCGTACGATCATCAGGCGTGGTCCAGAACTGTTCGAATGGTGTCATATTGAATGACTGTGAGACATCACTTTCAAACACGTGTGTGATGATGTCAGTCAAAGAATGATGATGAACGCCTGGGATCTCAAGTTCAGGAGCATCGGCTTCTGATGGAAACTTCATCTTCTCCTTTGGTAACCGGATCTTGACGGTAGATCGGCGCCATCCATATTCTTCTCGAAAGGGGTTAGACTTATCTTCAATGTACTTGTCCAACAGCTTCATTTCATGCGTGAAATTAAATCCACTCAGGTGAGCGAGGGAGCAACAAGGATCTGAACTAAGGTAGTCTGCAAGACGATTGACATTGGACCCTGAATTGCTATTGGTCCCAGAGTAATGCCACGCCATCAGGACTCCAGAGGTGTGGTTCGAGAACCCATCAAACAAGTGCTTAGCACTGATTTCGGGCGTGGAGAGACCAGGGTGCACTCCATGAGCTGCACCTTGCTCATTGTCCAGGGTTGGGGCATCCGTCACTCTCTCTAAGGTTAAGTTACCCTCAGGAGCTAAAGTGGGACGCGTTGGGTACACGCAGTAAAGTCCCATTGCATCAGGTTCAGTCCGGAATGGGATGGGCGCAGGGCGGGGATCTTCTGGATCAGAAGTAGGGGCTGGAGATGGAGATGGTGCTCGATCATGATCGGATTGATCTGCCAGAACACGGCCACGTTGCTGCCGGTTAGTGGGAGGCATGTGAGCCAGGTGCGTAGCTGATCCTGGAAGGTAGTCGATAAAGCGCCGAGGCATGTGCACTGTGCGTCCAGAGCGCTTTGAAGTGACTGGGGGAGGAGGTGAGGGTGAGGGTATGTTTGATGGACCTGCAGTATCCTCGAGCTGGTAACATCAGTACCGAAGTTAATCATCTTTCAAGCGAATGAAAATATGTACCTGTTCAAAATTGACACCATCACCCGAGATATCCATTGGAGCTTGATAGTCAAGGGCTCCACGTTGGTCGTCCATACCTTGCTCAATTATTTCCTCCCGCTCAATGCGTGTCCACTTGGAATTCTTGCCGGACTTATTTGACTTTTGACGTTTCTTGGCGCTGAATGTGGAACTCGTGAGATTGAGCGCCTGGTTTTTTGAGCATCGTGAACCATGCGCAGATAGTTATTTCTGGGTAGGAAAAGGTTTACCGCAGCCCAGACATGTCAAGTCTGGCATTGGAGAAGTGTGGTTCTGCAAGTAAGATATCAGAGCGCACTTTATATCACTCACTATGACCTTGGTTCTCATGATCAATCCACGCAGTAAAGCACAGAAGGTAAAGTCAAATTAACACAATGTAACTATGATTACATGCAAGGATATCATGATACGAATCTAAGAGAGATACGGCAGATTAGTTGGTGTGTTAACAAATAAGAAAAGGAGGGACTCGCGTTCACAAGCCTTTCTTCCAAACTTCCGGTCCTCTGAATCCTCAAATCCTTACATAGGCAGCAGCTTGTCCTGTACCGAGGTGTTCAAGTATAAACCTATCTGGAATTAGGATGACAAGGTAGTCAGGGCTCAGAACTTACTGTTAGCACATGGATGATACGAATACGATCAAGATCATAGGAATCAGGATATGAACTTGCACACACAGCGCAGATTGATCAGATTCAAGCTCCGAAACAACAAACATAAACAATGACCTCAAGGATATTTCGATGTCAGACGATTGATCTTGATCTTGCTCTCCCCATAATCAACAACCGTATCAACATTTGTAACAAGTTCTATCGTAGTATCATGCCTCAGAAACGACGCGCCATATGGAGCAGTGCATCCGAAGACAGTAGCGACTCTGACTCTTCTCTCTCTGGAAATGAGTCCTCACATTCATCTCCGACTCCGATCATCAAAAGTAAGGCGCAAAAGGCTTCTGATAAAGGCAAACAGCCTCAGAAAAAGTCGTTGAAGTAGGTTCTAAGCATTACCTGATCAGATCATTACCATTAACAGCGCATATATTCACAGAAAACCAAATAGGAGTCGTGATAGTGAAAGGTATTTTCATTTTCATTTAGTTATTTGAATTCGTAATGATGCATTACTAGGGACCAATGCCTACACGTTGCACGTTGGATTCCACATGCAATCGACATGTATGTTGTCCTCAAGGACACTTTTAGAATCGGTATCCTCCTTGAGCAGGAAGAATCTGCCAAGGACGGAACTTTGATCGAGGATGATGCTGCCAAGAAGGAGCGCCAGGAGACCCTTGAACATGTGTAAGTCCGGAGTTTGCTTTCTCATCATAGATAACACTTTTGCAGGAAAAAAGATGTACAAGAGCGTTCCTTGAGGACCTACAAAAGGATCCTCACAAGCGCGCCCTACCTCCGCACCCTCATTAAGGGAAACACAAAGAAGCATCGAAAGGAGCTGGGACATATATTATCGGAGGTGCGCAGACTAACCCAAGTAGTCTGCAGAACTGTCAGTGCTGACTCCATGAGAAGATGCAGGACATCATTGGGCAAATCCGCTCTGAAGACGCAAGTAAACTCAAGCCTTATATAGGGCGCTATGCGGCCCTAGACGCTGTAAACCACCCACTGATACCCGCGATTTACTCTGACAACCAGAAGTCGCGTGCTATGATGGGCGTGAATCATCCCCAACTCGCCGCTATGCTCTGTCCAATCAAACACCTTGCAGCCTATTGCGAGAATCCCAAGAAGTATGTATACAGTATTTACTCAGTGTGCTGCCTTTCTCACTATTTTTCAGGATTCAGGGAGAGTTGCAAAGCGGCCATATCAAGATGCATGCAGCTGCATGGCCCGCATTTGCATATGAGGGCGACTCACCTGGAGAAGATTTCAATCCGCTCGATATGCAGAATGGCCTTTTCAAAGGCTATCTTATGAAACGGGTATGTCAATCAATATTTTGTTTTCCTGATGCTCTCTTAACTCTGCCATAGGTCTTTCGGCACATATTCAAGGGCCCTTCCTCCGCTCTGGCCAATGATGGAGAGGTTGTTACAACTCGCTCTGGTAACGCAAAGCTTCACAACATGCTGAAGGTGGATGCTGAACATGTGGCCTATACATTCGTTCAGGTATGTGTCTTTAAACATGTTTTTAAACACATCTTACAACTCAATTTTCAGTGCTGTTTCAGTATTTCATCGCGTGACAAATGGCAAGCTATGGACGGTAAATACGACTATCATGAGGCCTACTACCGAATCATCCGAGCCATCCAAGAGCCGTTCGATCAGACATGGGCGGATTCATTACTTGAGTGGTGGAATATGTATGTATTATTTGTATTGATCCGTCATGCGTTGCTGACTTCTCGCAAAGGTCTGTATTTGGCGACAAGGCGGGTATACCGGTCTTTGATGTTAGTGATGATGACGACGAGGAAGAAGATGATTTGATCAGCATGCGAAGACAGTTTGCAAGTCGCGCTGCTGAAGTGCGACTCAAGGTTCGTTATTTTTTTTAAATGATATTTTGCTAATGTCTATTGCAGTCCGTATCTTCAGATGCACAAGGTAGTACCCTACCTTCCGATCCTGGCTCCGACACATCTGTGATCAATACAACTTCGACTCCTGCCACTACACCGCCTCCCATTGAAGAACCTGCACCTGTCCCAGCAAAAGCCATCCCCAAGCCGCGTCCTATCATACCAACTTCTCAGCAGCAGGTGGTGACCCCAAATGTGGATACTGAAGCTCTACCTCGCACCCTCCCTTTGGCACCCATCCCATCGGGTTCAGGTACTGGCAATCCACTACCTCACACCCTCCCTTTGGCTCCCGTCCCATCTGGTTCAGGCACTGGCACCCGAACGTCTAAGAAGCATGGCAGGACTAATGTGATGGAGTCCGATGATGAGAGCTCACTGACAGAAAACGATTCAGATGTCCCTGCCCCATCGAAGCGCACCAGGAAGGGCAAGGGCAAGGCTACCACCACCACCACCACCAGCAAGAGGAAGCGCAAGGGCCGGAAGTAGACTTTAGTACGTGCTTGATGTTCCTTGGGTATATTTGACTGACTATGTGGTTTTTAGCACCGCGGCATCACATTCCTGTTTCTCTTGCTATCATCGCATCACAGCTTCAAACGGACTCGGCATTTTTCGTTATCGATGCACGACTACTGGATGGACTCTCGCTCACACTTGCACTGGTCGTTTTCATGTTGCATTACACATACCTGTATTTCACATGCTTCCTTCGTGCTCAATTTGTCTGTCTACTACATGCTTGTACGGTACTGCAATGATGATATGTGCTTATACAACACGAACAGTCTGATGAGGTGTGATAAGGTGCCAGCAAGTACTAGCAGGTGCTAAGGTTACAGCATGCGGCTTTTCATGCATCAAATAATCGAGCATATGACGGAAAATTGTCATCATGATCGACCGGTGCTGAAAAACAAGTTCCTATATAAGACTTTACTTCGGTGCTCTGGAGCTGCTGGTACCTTCTGTGCCTGTTGTATCTGCTGGTACATTCCGACTCGTGATATGACCTTATCTTCCCATATCTAGATTGTGGAGTTTTGGTGATGACAGGAAGCACCAAGAGCACTCCGGATCTTCATGAAGCGACATGCGGTATGCATGCGCTGATCTAGGGTGACCATGAGGCGTGCAGCCTCCATGGATCAGGTACAAGGCCATCTAGGCCAGGGGTGGGGTCATAGCGCCAGGGGCGGGGTCACAGCGGTCCAGACCACTGTCTTTCTAGGCGCAGGCGGCGCACCGCCGCGTGGGGAGTCTAGCAGAGTGGGGGCAGGCATAGGCAGAGCTGGGGCTCCTGTAGGTGTTACAGATACCTGTAACAGGTGCGTCTTCATTTTCTACGCTGTCATTTATTTATAACAAAGTTACTATAGTTTTATAAACATCTTTTTATTGGACCATCATCCGTCATGAACGATGCATCAAATGTCCGCAACTCTGCGAAGCCATCCAAAAATCGTGCATGGGGACTGATGGCTGTCAACAAATACATCATCGCATATGTTCACATTATCGTAAGTTTAGCTCTTTTGCTATTGATATCAGCACCCCTCTCATGAACCCATAGACATACTTTACGATCAGCAGCGCTCAGCACTGGACACGGTGTATTGGCGACATGGACTTGGATGAGCTCCTCTGGGCCATCATTGAAATGCTAGACGACGACGATGATCCATGGGTCAAAGACACCCTCGTGTGGTGGAACAGGTACATTTTTCTGCGTGGTTAGTTCAGTGCTAATTGTTCGCAGGCACCTCAAACCAACCAAGGACAACTCACACTTGGCCAAGCTCATGCGAAAGGAAAGTGAGGACGACATTGCACAAATTCGTGCTCAGCGAGCTGCACGCCATTCTGCATTAGTTACATCAGATGGTATGTGATAGATGTATATACAATGCTGGTACTGATATTTATTTCCCAGTGCTGTCACGTCCGGTCAACCCTAATGGGTCTCGAGAGCCCTCAACCAGTAAGCAAGCTCGCCCTGTGGAGTACGAAGATGAAGACGATATAACACATGCACCCAAACGGCTTCGGTGAGCAGGTGACGACCTTGCCAGTGACTCACCACCTCACCCAAATTCCAACGCTAAGCAGCACTGCACCTCAGTTTATGATGACAACGAGGTTGCAGCACCACGAACACAGTCAACCCACCCTCGGTTGGAAAGGCGAGGGCAGCCTGCGAAGCCATGGCCCCTGCACCAGCGCCACACTCAGGTTACTTCAGACAACGACGAAGATACCCCACCCCCTCGCAAGCTCAAATCCAAGCGCCCTATCTCTCTCGATGATGATGGCGACGAGCTGGAAATAGCAGCACAACCCAAACAGCCTCGATCTGACCCCCACGTGCCATTGCCTCCAAAGTTCAATAAACCTCGGTACTCCACCTCTGATCATGGTGAGGCTCCAACTTCAATGCAACCTGCCCGTGGAGCTACAGATTCCGATGGAGAGGAACACCAACCTCGGCTAAGCAAGCCTCAGCATCCTACAAGTGCCTCCGTCCAGTATGATGATGAGGATCAGCCTCCACGTCCTAAGCCGAAACCCAAGCCGAAACCTCGACGCCCTGCTGCTTGCGATGAGCACGAGGATTCACTAAGTGCGCATGTGACCAAGCAGTCGTCGAATGTGATTCAGGTATGCAGCTAAGACCATTTTTTTGTCGTCATAGTGATATTATGATTAGCAGTCTCAGCCAGCGTCTCCGCCTCGACGCCCCTCACCCCCACTGTCAGATCTGACTGACAATGACATCAACTTCTCCCCGCAAGCTCCAATGGCTCCCGTTCCCTCAAAGAAGAGAGGGAGGAAGAAAATCACCGATCCTGACGCTCCTCAAAGAACCTTTGTATGAAAGAGGGCTAATAGCTATTAGGACTGCATCTCTCTCGTTGGACTTTCGTTCTCCGTTTCTCGCATTACTGCTTCTGCTGACATAGACTTAATGGCTTCTGCTGAC